TTCCAGCGTCTGGTCAGAGAGATCGCCCAGGATTTCAAGACCGACCTGCGCTTCCAGAGCTCTGCCGTCATGGCTCTGCAGGAGGCCAGCGAGGCTTACCTGGTCGGACTCTTCGAAGATACCAACCTGTGCGCTATCCACGCAAAGAGGGTCACCATCATGCCTAAAGACATCCAGCTGGCCCGCCGTATCCGTGGAGAACGTGCTTAAATTACCTCAATATAACTTGCACCCAACGGCTCTTTTAAGAGCCACCTACATTCATCTTAAGAACGATTCATTTAATCAATTAGTATTGGTCAAACTTTACTACACCTCCTTAAATATGTCTCTTGAACATTGAATTCATAAATATTTGGAGTTTCTCATGTATTCAGGTTTCGCATAGCACCTGGAATACGGAAATAACTTGGTTTCTTCAACACTTTTATTAACGAGTGTACTTAAATGGCATGTGATGGGTATATTTATGCACAGCAATAACTTGTATATGAAGGTGAACGTGATAACTGCAACCCCTATGTCATCTGTTACTGTCGTGTTTTTACCTTTTAAATTGTGGAGTGGTTTGCTAAGTGTTATGCTAAAAAAATTAAGGTGGTTTGACTGAATTTGACAATTTTCACTAAATTAGGTAATGTCATTCTAGTTTTATAGCTTAACTAAATGTTGGAGTACAATTTGTAAAAGTCAGTTTTACACGGAATGTTGCCAAAATAACAGAACTTTAAAGAAAATTACATTAATTTGGCCTTTACATAATTCATTAAATGTCACAAAAATACCTCGTATAGATTTTATTTTTTACCAAAATATGCAAGACTTAAGAAAGCAAGTACTTTATGTATTAAAGAGATAATGTAAATTCTATTAAGTCACTTTGTTTCAGTAGATCCCATCCGCTGCTGAGCACAAGTCTCTCTGCAGCGCGGAAACTTGACGTAGAGCATTCTGATTGGACGACGCCTCTTCTGCTGATACTTAACCAATCAGCGGATAGATGGTGTGTATAAATGCTGCTGGTCGCTGTAGCGGCCTTATTTCTCCTTGACTCAAGAAGAGCGAAATACAAGATGTCTGGACGCGGAAAGACCGGCGGCAAAGCCAGAGCTAAGGCCAAGACCCGCTCATCCCGTGCGGGGCTCCAGTTCCCAGTGGGCCGTGTTCACAGGCTGCTGAGGAAAGGAAACTACGCCGAGCGCGTCGGCGACGGAGCTCCTGTCTATCTGGCGGCGGTGCTCGAGTACCTGACCGCTGAGATCCTGGAGCTGGCTGGAAACGCTGCCCGCGACAACAAGAAGACCAGGATCATTCCCCGTCACCTGCAGTTGGCCGTCCGCAACGACGAGGAGCTCAACAAGCTGCTGGGTGGAGTCACCATTGCACAGGGTGGTGTTCTCCCCAACATCCAGGCTGTCCTGCTGCCCAAGAAGACCGAGAAAGCAGCGAAGGCCAAGTAAATCTTTACAGCTAAAACCCACAAACCCAACGGCTCTTTTAAGAGCCACCCACATCTATCTGAAGAGTAAAATTCGGAAAGT